TGTCACTCAGATTTTGTCAGATAAATCCCTCAGCAGCAGCCATGGGAGACACTGTCCTCAGCCCAGAGAAGCTGGATTCCAGAAATGTTGCTTTCCTCAGTGATAGCAGGGGCAGAGGGCATTGCCAGGCAAGGTCAGCTCAGAGACCACTTTTATTTAAGCCTTCTGTGAAGCAGTGGCTGTCAATGACAACACATTTACCATCTGTGCAAACACGGATTTTCACCTGCAATACTCTTCAAAGGCAGTGTCTCAGGAACCTGACCTGAGAAATACATTTGCTTGACTGCCCATTCTAATTTCCACAGCAGTCTGTTCTCTGGAGTCCCAGCTGTACAGTGACTTGTTTTTAACTGGGTTTTATTTTATATGTTTTACTGAGGGGAGGAAAACCCAGTGTGATAGGGTTCTTTATTTGCTGAAGATGTGTGTGATTTCAGGATATTTTCATCTAGTCTGATAAAAATGGCATTTCTATAGAAACAACTGATGAAACAAACAACAAAGAGGAAATGCTGTCAAAAGCCAATATAATGCTCAGCAGATGCTCAGAGATGAGTAAATACTCTGCTGTTTTGGGCTTTTAAAATACACAATCCTTCCCCCTCATTTACATAGTTAAATCAATTCACATCAAGTGTGGATGTGTGCTTTTTATTGGTGAACAAGTAGAGGTTTGATTTAAAATACTTCACCTAGTCCCAGAGATGCCCAGCAGCCATTGCTCAGTGAGGTCTTGCTGCCTTCACTCAAGGCTTTGTGGGTGGATCTTTGAGGATATTTGGACACACACATCATCTCTGCTCAACTTGTCATGTTTTCCCACTAGCAAGAAAGCTGCCATTGATTGGTCACAATGCAATTTTGCTCTCATGTATGCACATTTCTTTAAGAACATGTACAGTTTCTTTACTACCACAGACAGTCACGATGTGCTGTGCATGACACCACTGTGTGTAAGTCCCTTCTCTACTTGCTCTGGGCTCTCACTCTTCCAGATGGATTCCTGCAGACAGTGTTATTGTGCAGTGGCATGAGGCCATGCTTTGAGTCACGATATATTGCCATTCCTTCTGAGATCAACGTGTAGTTCTCTGCAGAGTTAAACCTTTAGCACAGGTGATAACTTCCTGCTGAACATTGTGCCCTACCAGACTCAACTCTTTTTTACATGGATTACAAAATGAATAGTTAGAGTGGACGGCCCACAGATCATAGTATATGAACTGTGACAACTATGTTACAACGTGGGCTACAGAACTGACCAAAACCCGCATCAAAACCGACCTAAGAGGATGTGAAGATGACCACATGGCAATCACTTGGTAACAAAACAGAGAATCAATGAAGAGCAAGAAGACCCCAAACTATAATGTTGCTATTGGTCCAGACTGTTACATGAGGGATGAGGAGTTTATATTGTATGGGTATAATGGCCAAGGGGTCCCTCTTTTGAGATACCTAGATAGAGCTACCAGATACAGTGATTGATCTGTGCCAATAAATCTACCTGATGGAGAAGAGAGTTTAGTGCCAAAAATTTCTTTAACAAAAAGGAACACAAGTAAGACTTGTATCTTGGACCAGTCAATCCCTTATTATCATTTATTTTCCTTTCCCCAGCAGACCTGCATGCGGCCCACCACCCTGCTCTCCAGCTGTTCTGTTCTCGACTTCAGTTTCTGTCGTCTGGCAACAAAGCACCAGGATTATCTTCTTCTGTGGTCACCTGCTTTTTAGACAACTTATCCTAATATTTATCATCTCTGCAACATAGATAATACTGTTATGTTTACAGTTTTACCCTTTTGAATCATACCAAGGCCACTGCCATATTGTCTTTGTTGTTCTGACCTCTTCCCTGTTATAATCCATTGGGAAAGCATTTGGCTCTAGGTTCTCATGCTTCCCATGCTGTGGAAGATCAAAATCATGTTCCAGAAAGTCACGTAAAATATTTGCCTGTGGCGAGCCTAGGGGAGAAGAGGATGAAGAAGATTTTTAGGGCCTGTGAGAAGACTGATAATCTTTTAAATCTCATAAAAAAGCTCTTGCTGAGTGAGGAATGTTTGAGTTAACCTCCAAAGGCTCTTAGCGATGCTCTGGTGGGAATTTCTTTGCCAGAATTGCTTAGGAGATCCATGCAAGTGTGTTGGTACTTATAATTTATAAGATAAATATGAAGACACACGAGCATGATTTATTGATAGAGAATAAGCTATATATAGTGCCTTTAACTGTATTATTAAAACTGAAGGTAAATAATTAATGGAATGAAGAAAAGATACATAAAACTCTGGCAGTTTTGATGGGAAGCGTTCCTGTCTTGTGGTAATTAAAATTGAATATATTCTGAGTATATTTTATGTCTTTCTGGCAAAAAAGATTATTTCCTCATTTCACCTGCATGCTAAGAGACACTGCGTGTGGCTGTAGAAGCTGTGCAGCCTGCGTGAGAAAATTCAGGGGAAAAATGCATATGGCTGTTGGGCTTCAACACCATCCCACACTCAGGATAGGATTACTGTCTGTGGGTGCTGACCAGTTCTGTCTGGTTGACCCTCAGAGTAGTTTCAGGTGAGATACAGCTCAGATAACATGTGTTAGTTTTGCAAAGTTCAGTGTTGCCCATTTCCATGAGAAGTGTTACAGAAAGATACAGCTGGCTTCAGCAACCATTGCCAAGGCCTCCCTGCCTCACTCCCTGCCTCTCCAGGTAGGAGAACTCAACTGTGTTCATGGGTTCCACAGGAAATAATTTCTAAGTTCAGCACCAGCAAAGCCTCAAAGTGTGAGAGAGAGGCTTTCTACCCACACCGCTGCATCTGCCAAACCCTTTTGTAGAATCAATGGTGATCTTTTGTCCAGTCTGAAGATGAACAGTGAAAAAACTAAAACCTTGATTTCACATTTTGGTTCAAGCAGAGGCACAATCCATCAATTTCAACAGATTTTGGAGCAGCCCTACATGACCTTCACTGTCCCAGAAGCACGAAAAGCAACAAGGACACATTAAACTTCTCACTTTGGTCAGCCAGACCTTTGGTAGCAATGTATTCCACAGACAAAGGATTAGAAACTTATGCTTGGGAGGTTTAACTGCAAGAAACTTGAACAATTATTTCAAAGTGTTTCTTGCATCCCAAACCAATATAAACTGGGAATGACAATTTTAAGTGGCAGAAGGTGCTGGTAGGGTGAGATCTGTTTTCAGTGAAATGGAGAATTTGACACCACATTTCTCAGCAGCCACTGTTACTCCTGAACTAATTCTGACTTTAATATAATTCTGGTTCCTTTAGGGAGTGCAAAGCAGAGATCCACCAGCTGATGAACTGCAGCCAGGCAGGGCAGCATCAAAGAAGCACTCAGGTAGTTAATACATGTCTGATCATAAGTTTAGAATCATGGTCACTCTTGGCTACGTAATAATGGGGCATCTTGAAGTCATTTTGGTGATTCCTACTTCAAGAAGAGCTCAATGACCTCAAATAGTGCAGTTGTCAGCTTTACCATCTCAGGAACATGGCTACTCATCAGAAGATATAAAGCTCAGGGAGATGTTTTCTGCCCAGCATTTAAAAGAATTGAAGTTTTGATTTCAATTTTTTGTAAGTTAGTCACAGTCCTATTTCCCTGACACTGTAGTTAAGGCTGGCTGTTGGCAGACATGAAGGTCTACCTTAATTTCTATAGATTTATGGTCCAATGACCATAATGGATAAAGCTTGTTTCTGGCTGTAATTTTGCCGCAGTATTTTAGTTTTCTGAAGGGATAAAAAATCCCAGTGCTTCATTTCTTACAGAACCAGTGCACTTGTGTTGAGTCCTTCCCAAAGAGTGGGCCTACCTGGTCCAGTCCAAGCCCCTGTGAGAATCTGTGCCTGTTCCCATGTGCAGAGAATTCATCTCAGCAATGTCCCATCTCTATTCATCTCACCAGTGTCTATCAGTGTCTGCAGGGAGGGTGTCAGAGGACAGAGCCAGGCTCTGCTCAGGGGTGCTGGGCAATAGGGCAATTGGCAGTGGACAGAAACTGAACCATGGGGAGTTTGACCTGAACACGAGGAGGGATTTCTTTACTGGGCAGGTGACTGAGCACTGGAACAGGTTGCCCAGAGTCAAGTTTCCCTCACTGGAGATGTTCAGGAACCAAACCATCTGGACACAATCCTGTGCCACGTGCTCTGGGATGAGCCTGCTTGAGCAGGGAGGTTGGACCAGATGACCCACTGTGGTCCCTTCCAATCTGACCCATCTTGTGATTCCGTGATTGTGTCAAAGGCTGAAAGGCGACTGAGCACTGCAATCAGTGACCAACGTTAAAATCAAAGCTGCTGCAAGTTCCAACAGCTTTCCCAAGCAGTAATGTGTAATAAGGCTTGGCACGTATAACAAACAGGCAATCAGACAGGAATAATAAATGACATCCGTGTTCCCAGAGCTTTGTGTGTCTGCTCTCCTGGAACACCCGCAGTGTCGGGCACGTCACACCCTCTCATAGTGACACGGCACAGCTCCTGGGCTTACATGACTGTGTTCCTGTGTGTGCAGACCCTCGCTGTCGGACGCAGGTGGCCTGTGTGGAGACCTAAGGGACACTCGCGGGAGAGGGCGAACTCGCAGGGGCAGTTCAGCGGCGGGACTCCCCTCCGGGAGCCTCCGGCCGCACGCACCAAAGGGCAGCCTCAGCCGCAGTGCCGGGGAAAACGTGGCCGTGATTAACTCATAAAAAATGAAACGAAAATCCAATTCGCTCCATTCCGTTCCCAGCGGGAGGGAGCGCCCGGGGCTCGGGCGGGCGGAAGTGACGGCGGCCGGGCGGAAGAAGCTGCCGCGGGGCAGGGCGGAAGTGCTGGCGGGAGCGGCGCGGTGCCGGCGCAGGGGAGCGGCGGCCGCGCTGGGCAGGACCTGCCTCAGAGGGTTACCTGCTGCTTCTGGAGAGCACTGGAAGAGCATTGCGGACCTGCATTTCTCTGTAAAGTAAACGCCGTTCTCTCTGACCCACTGGTGCTGCATTAGTTGGTGATTGGGGTCCCTCCCTGTCCTGACTGACCTTCCTTCTCAGGCTGATGCTGAGGATGAAGTTGATTCACTCAGAGGTGCATCTTGGCCCTTGAAGCAGCCTGTGCCTTCTCTGCTCTCCTGTTTCCTTCCAGTCAGGCTTAGACCTCTGGTCCCAAGTGCGCTTGTGAAACTTCCTGCAGCACTGGTGGGCTTTTCAAACAGTATCCGTGGGAAGCACAGAGCGTAACAGAAAGCTATTTATTGAGATTTTTGGTACAGACAGGGTGTGCAACAGCGAATGGTAGCGTATGCATATAACAGTTACTATGTCGTGGAGTGTAAAGGAGTGTGTGGTCCTTTGACAGGATTTCGGATCCCTTGCGTGTTTTCCTAGGACAAAATCCTCGTTGGGTTGCACCTGCTGGCTGGCTGGTGGTCCCTCTTGGCAAACAGATTGTGTATGGTGAGTTTCTAAGTAGTGAGTTGCACGGTGGGAGGTGAGCAGAGTGCAGGATGCTGGGGTCAGTGCTGATCGTCAGGAGTTTGTTGTTTCTGCTGCCTGTTTCTTGTGAGCTCTGGTGGGCAAGAATTAATCCTTCTGATGGCCAGGGCAGTGTTGCTGATGTGCTTAGGTGGCTTCCAAGGGGCGTGGAAAAAGGTACGATTAGAAGGCAAAGTGTTTTTGCTCCCTTCAGTCTGTCTGCAAGTCCCACGTGTAGCCAAGCCATGACTTTGGGGAAGGGTTTTCTGGAATAACATGCACCCTTGTTAGACACTGGCTGCTTGGTTGGCTCGTTGTGCCTGCCAGTTTCCCAGGGAAAGGAAGGCAGTTCTCAAGGCCTCCTGTATTTTTTTAATTAACTTTTTCTGATAGACAGAGACTGGGAGAAGTTTGTGTAGAGCCCTGTGTGGAGGAGGCTTGGAGCAGAAAGATTAGCAGCACTGTTTGCTTCTAGCTGGGTGGTTTGTGTCTGTTAATCCTGGCATCGTCCTCTTTTGGGCTTTGAAGCCTGGGATGACAGGGCATGGAACACTTGGTGTCGGCTGCGTGTGGTGCTGCTTGTGCATATCAAAGAGGGTCCAAGCAACAGAAGTGTGGGTGTGGGAGCCCTGTTGTGGCAGAAAGCTCCCTAAATAACCAGCAAGTGGGTGTGTGCTTCTGCTCAGAGTACACGCAGCAAAAAGGAGCTGTCTGGAGAAGTTGCAGTTTTTGCAGTGCAGCCAGGGAGGTGGGCTGAGAGGGAGTGTTTCTGCATTCTCAGCATCCGTGAGAGCCGCAGTGAGATCCCAGGTGTTGTTGTGTGAAGTCCTTCTGTGACAGTAGCAAGGCAGTGTAGAAGGGTGCTCCCTGCCCTTCCTGCCCTGCAGCAGCTTTTGCATTTTGTTCCATGAATGTCCTTGACCACACTGTTAGAGAAAGTGGGTGTTCTCCCTGTGTGCTGGGGAAGGGTTTTATTGTTGAGAGGGTTCAGGGGAGTTCCCCTTGTTGCTGCTTGTGCCATATGTGGGATTGGTGTCCAGGGAAGCTGTTGTTGTGGGCGTCTTGAGCTGACAGCTTCCATAAAGGTCAGTGTTTTGGGATATCTGCAATGGAGCAAGTGACTGGTGACGTTGGCATTGGATGGAGTGGTCTGTTTCCTCAGTCATGAAGTCCTGAAGTGAATGGAGAGTCCTTGGAAGCCTTGCAACCCCTGAAAATCCAGGGATTTTGTTGAATCTGATATGTTTGGTGATTTTACACTAATGCCTTGACTAAAAGCATTAACCAAATGTCAAACTTCCTGGCTGCCTTTGTTCTCTTAGAACCAGCAGCATGACACCTTACCAGGTGGGGGCTGTGCCTGCCCAATGATTGCACTTTGTTTTGGTCTGAGATTAAGAAAGAGATTCACTTCCAAGCTTTGCACTTTCTCATGTGTGCAGCCTGTCCATATGGCTGAGAAGTGTTCCATTAAAAATCCATATCCACTTTCCTTTCTGTCTTGACAGTAAGTCATCACTGAGTCCTGGTGGGCTTTTGCAGGTGGGAGAGATCAAATACGTACAAATTGTTTCAACCTCGCAAGCGTGGGAGGGTGTTGGGTCTGCAGCATTATTGCTGCTCAGTGATTCAATTAGTGTGTAATGTATTTGCAAACACTCTACTTGCTGCCAGAGGTAACAGTCTTTATAAGTCTCCCCAAACTGTCCTGGGCAGCGAATGAAGATGGTTGGAAGTAGGGTGGCTTCTCCTGAGAAGAGGGTGGTGAAAGAGTGAGACAGAACTAAAGCAGGACAACCATGTCAAGAAGAAAAACGTTTTTTACTTGAGAGATTTGAGTGAGAAGGAGAGCAAACAGAGTCAGTGAGTGCATTGTCTCTGTCCATGTGAACAGGCTCTTGCATCCTTACAGGGATGGTAATGCTGGCCTGTGGAGAAGATGCTATGTGTATGGTTACTCCCCCAGAGGGAGTTAAAATATATCAATATATTCACATTATATTGGTGGGTGGCCCCAATGCACCACAGTAGGAGAAACACAAGCAGAGATAATTACTTACTGGAAAATATACGGTTTGAAATTCCAGCAGAAAAGCTGCAACCCCAAACCTTCCAAGGTGAACTTCCTGGGTATATGATGGAGGGGAGGAACCCTGAAACCTTGACTATCCTTGAACAAGTTAAAAGGCCTGGAAAGAGGAGTATTCCTTGAGTCTGCTGGCATTTTGGAGAAAACACATCCCAAGTTTCTCAATCATAGCAAGTGCCCTTTGTGATTTAACATGCCAGAGGACCACCTGGGACTGGACCCCTGTCCATGAAGAAGCCGTACAATTGTTAATCTTTGAGGTTGGGGTATATCAGGTGTCAGGCTTTAGGTCCAATACATCTGACAGATCCACTTCATAAAATCATAGAATCATAGAATGTTAGAGGGTTGCAATGGACCTTAAATTCATCTAATCCCAACCCTTCCTGCTGTGTGCAGGGACACCTCCCACTAGACCAGGTTTCTCAAGGCCTTATACAACCTGTCTTTGAACACTGCCGGGGTTGGGGCAGTGGTATGTGCAATTATACCATTAGTGCCATGTGCTTCAGATAGAGGAGGGAGCACATGAAGTGCTCCAAATACAAAAACCGCCTGGCAATAACTGGGCCAGAAGCTTCCTCCATCATATATAAAACCCACCTCGCAATTTGAGCCCCACCTGAAAAATGCATGGTTCACTGATGCATCCTCCAAAGGAGAGCAAGATACTGAGGGGTGGCCCTGCGTGTTTTTTTGAGGGGATCAAATTGTGACAAAGGGAGAAGGAAATGCTCAGGTGGGAAAATCGGTAGCCATGTGCAGTGTGGTTGTTAGAGAGACTGAAAATAAAAACAAGAGTGTTTATTTATATGGACTCCTATGCTGCTTTTAAGGGGTGCACTGGATGGCTCCTGTTTTGCGAACAAACCCGTGGGAAGTCAGTCGGGTTCCCAGTGTGTCAGCGAGAGAAGTGGGACGACATCCTAAACACAGCTAAGCAGAAGTCTCTTGGTGGGATGGATTGCTATTCACCAGAAGAGGGATCACCTCTTGAATAATCAGGTAGATTAACTGACCTGTGTGGCAGGTATGGCAGTAAAGGGAGAAGAATTATAATGGGAGCATCTGTTACAGGGCTTACATGTAAAGGGAGGCCATTCAGGAGTTAAGGATCTTTTTAAGGGAGTTGGTAGCAGAGGGTGGCCTGTCACTTGGGAATTGTGTAACAGTCATCTCAGCCTGTGGCCAGTGTTGTACCCAACTAGAGAAACAACACCCTTTGCAGGAGGCTCCCCTTCACTTATGACACGGAAAGGTCTCTGGGAGACCTAGCAGATGAACTGTCTAGGGCCTTCCGTGAAGTCAGAGGGAAAGCAGTATGTGTTCCTTGGGGTGAAAGTAATGTCAGGGCTCACTCAAGCTGAGGCAGTAGCACGAGCAACTGGGTACAACACTGTAAAGGGACTGAAGCTGTGGATTAGTTATTTGGCATGGCCCAAATACCTCCAATCTGACAACGGTAGTCACTTCATTGCTAGGGTGGTTCAAGAGTGGGCAAGGGATGAAGGAATCCAGTGGATCTTTCACACCCCATACTATTCCCAGGCAAATGGTGTTGTTGAATGCACCAATGGGCTCTTGAAGAGGGCCCAGAAACCTCATGAACCTGGTTGACCACAGCTGGGTGTCATACAGAGTCAATGGTTGCTGGGGAGTTCCTGGGACAAAAGAAGCCAAAGACCCTACAAATCCTCCCCATTACCCAGGACAACTGGTTTTGGTAGAATTACCAAGAGTAGGATTGGTACCTCTGACCTTAAAAAAGCCACTTAACCTGTATGTATGGGTGGTTACTGATGGTTCCCTCCTTTTAATCATGTTTTGTTTTTATGCACGTATATGTTTTACAGATTATCTGAAATCCATTGCTGGACCTACGCTTTCAACTGTTTAGTGGATGGACCATTTTGTGCATTTTTAGTTTGATTTTACTAAGCCTATTTTGCCTTTTTACTAGAGAAAAATGGTGTGGGAAAAGTTTTTATTCTTATTTTATGGGTGTACAATTTTGTCTCAATTGACTGAGAATGAGGATACTCAACCAAATTTGGCTTGGGAGTTGATACAAGGATTTATGCATATTTGGAACCACACGAATCAAGGAATATGTATTAACCTCCCCAACTCTGCATCAGAGGGGCTTAGATTTATGATGATTTGGTTAAATTTTTCAGAAATATTAACAAGAGAACTAGATAACCTTAAAAAAACAGGAGGAAATGTTACCTGGGGAATGATCGAGTCCCCCTTCCTAGACCAGAAGGAAGGACAACAATGGGCTGCAAATGGGACATGGGTAGAATACAAGAAAGCCTTTTACCAGCTCCCACACAACTCTACCTGGAACCATTTATGGAATCAGACATGTTATCGATCATTAGACACCAACCCTAGTGAGACATTGCAAAATGTCACTTCTATCCCTTGCACGGTGGTGCCGTGGTGGGATTCTCCTACTGAGAGTGCGTTTTTCGAACATGAGTACAATTTACATTGGGATGCAGGATGGTGTATACAAATCCCCAGTAACCCAGGAACCCCACACCAAGTTAACCAAACAAATTATGAGTGGGCTTGGTCTCTGAAACAAATCTTTGACCCCATATCTCCCCTACAATGGGCCTCCCGGACCCCAACAGGGGACATAGTGGAATGGGAAGTGGGGAAATCGGACTGTAAGGACCAGCAGATCACACTCCCTAACGGAGAGAGCATCTGCTGGAAAGTGAGGAACACCAGAAGCATCATCCAAAGTAAATCAGAGACCTCCTTTCTGAATTGTTCCCGTATATTAGATTGTACCACTGGAGCAGGTGAGCCTATAGAAACCTGGTACATCTCGGAGCTGAGAACTTTCATCCGGGACATGTGTACCTGTTGGGGTTATCCCAACTATGGCTATCTAAATCGAGACACCCGATGCAATGGGTCTTACGAAAATTCGGAGACGGCACTGTCCTGCGGTATTCCTGTTACACATGGCCCTGACCCAAGAAGAGTCTTGAATTCAAGTACTGAAGCACAGGAAGTTCCCCGAGGCGACCTGTATCAGTGTTCACAAGCCAAATATCCAGCTCCGAGGGGAACAGTATGGGCATGTTCAGATGGAAAAATGTATTCCCACTTGAACATGTATGATATGGCTGGACTCCAGTGTACTATTGGGTTTCCTACCATGTGCCCATCTAAAACATTCAATTACACACTTTATTGTAACAAAAAGGTACAGAGAGAAATCCGCAATCCAGTAGATGCGAAAGGGTGGATTGGGGGGATTCAAGTCCCTGACTATTATACCTGGGGACAAAATGTTGCTTTAGACTTAGAATTATTTTTTGTGCCCAGTGGAGTTAATCAACGGCATCAGTATGTCTTGGAGAACTTAACTAGGCAAATCCACGTGTTGAGCAACTGGACCGAACGTGCCTACGGGAAACTGAATTTGCAGGCCCAACAGGTACCAAAAATGGCTTTGCAGAATCGATTAGCCCTGGATATGGTGTTGTTGAAAGAGCACGGAGTATGCGGGATGCTAAACCTAACGGATGGAGAATGCTGTGTCACTGTTCATAATGCTGCCACCACCATGGAAGAAGCGCGTCAGAAGATGAAGGAGGTTGCTGAACAAACGGGAGAACTATTTCAAGCAATGCAACCGAAGGAATAGTTTGATGGACTGAGCCTGGATCGTGGATCACATTGCTACTAAAGTGCCTTGGACTTACGGGATGGGGAAAGCAGCATGTACGCGTTGCCCTTACGATATTTTGTGGATTTGTGGTTTTGATGAAAGGTCAGAAAGTCATGTGAAACTGTTTACTTGTGGCAAGCTATAAGAAGAGGATGAAGGAGATTGTTGGGACTTGTGAGAAGACTGACGACCTCATAAACTAAAAAAAAAAGTCATAAAAAAGCACTCGTTGAGCGAGGGATGTTTGAGTTAACCTCCAAAGGCTCTTAGCGATGCTCTAGTGGGAATTTCTTTGCCAGAATTGCTTAGTGGATCCATGCAAGTGTGTTGGTACTTGTAATTTATAGGATAAATATGAAGATACATGAGCATGATTTATTGATAGAGCATAAGCTATATATAGTGCCTTTAACTGTATTATTAAAACTGAAGGTAAATAATTAATGGACTGAAGAAAAGATACGTAAAACTCTGGGGAGTTTTGATGGGAAGCGTTCCTGTCTTGTGGTAATTAAAATTGAATATATTCTGAGTATATTTTATGTCTTTCTGGCAAAAAAGATTATTTCCTCATTTCACCTGCATGCTAAGAGACACTGCATGCGGCTGCAGAAGCTGTGCAGCCTGCGTGAGAAAATTCAGGGGAAAAGTGTGTATGCTGTCAGCCTTGAACGCCACCCCACTCTCAGGATAGGATTACTGTCCGTGGGTGCTGACCAGTTCTGTCTGGTTGACCCTCAGAGTAGTTTCAGGTGAGATACAGCTCAAATAACATGTGTTAGTTTTGCAAAGTTCTGTGCTGTCCATTTCCATGAGAATTGTTACAGAAAGGTACAGGCTGGCTTCATCAGAAAGCAAGGGACAAAGATAATGTTTTTTTATGATGATAATAAGGGGACTACTCAAGCAAAGCAAAATTCAGCTAGCAATTTGTTATGTCTCCGTAGACATCTCTCCTGGGTTTGAGAGGAAAAGATGGGCGGACTGCTCCGAAGAACAATAATTCAAACAGGCCCTTTCATGACTCAGACCATCTAGTTTAGTGAATTGACTCAGACACGTAGGATCAAATATCCTGTACACCTTTAGGATATCTTTTTTCACTGAATTAATTTACACCATGTCCATACCAAACATTAGTAAGGTCAAAGTGACCTAAAAACAACTAGTTGTTAAATTCCCTGGAGTCAGAACAGCTCAACCTCAAGTGGCTGTCAGTCTAAACAGACCCACAGTTAACCCAAACACGTTGCAGCACAACCAATGCCAAGGCCTCTCTGCCCTTCTGTCCAAGCATGAGAACTGAAAGGTGTTCATGATATCCAAGGGAAATCCTTCATAATTCCGCCCCAGCAAAGCCTCAGAGTGTGAGAGAGAGGCCTTCTACTTGCACCACTGCATCTGCCGAAGCCTTTTGTAAAATCAGTGGTGCTCTCTTGTCCGGTGTGAAGATGAACATAAAACTATAGATTTAAGTGCTTTCAGTGTTCATAATGGATAAAACTTGTTTCTGGATGTAATTTTGCCGCAGTATTTTAGTTTTCTGAAGGGATAAAAAAATCCCAGTGGAAAAGTGCTTCATTTCTTACGGTATCAGGGCACTTGTGGTGAGTCTCCCCAACTGTGGGCCTGCCTGGTCCAGTCCAAGCCCCTGTGAGACTCTGTGCCTGTTCTCGTGTTCAGAGAATTCATCTCACCAGTGTCTATCAGTGTCTGCAGGGAGGGTGTCAGAGGACAGAGCCAGGCTCTGTTTGGTGATGCCAAGCAACAGGACAACTGGCAGTGGGCAGAAACTGAACCATGGGGAGTTTGACCTGAACACGAGGAGGGATTTCTTTACTGGGCAGGTGACTGAGCACTGGAACAGGTTGACCAGAGAAGGTGTGGAGTCTCTCTAACTGGGGATATTCAGGAATCAAACCATCTGGACACAATCCTGTGCCACGTGCTCTGGGATGAGCCTGCTTGAGCAGGGAGGTTGGACCAGATGACCCACTGTGGTCCCTTCCAATCTGACCCATCTTGTGACTCCGTGATTGTGTCAAAGGCTGAAAGGCGACTGAGCACTGCAATCAGTGACCAACGTTAAAATCAAAGCTGCTGCAAGTTCCAACAGCTTTCCAAACAGTAATGTGTAATAAGGCTTGGCACGTATAACAAACGAGCGATCAGACAGGAATAATAAATTACATCCGTATTCCCAGAGCTTTGTGTGTCTGCTCTCCTGGAACACCCGCAGTGTCGGGCACGTCACACCCTCTCATAGTGACACGGCACAGCTCCTGGGCTTACATGACTGTGTTTCTGTGTGTGCAGACCCTCGCTGTCGGACGCAGGTGGCCTGTGTGGAGACCTAAGGGACACTCGCGGGAGAACCCCCCCTAGGGCTGCACAAGCCCGGCTCGAACCCAACCGGGAATTTCCTCCCGGACCCCGCGGGGATGGCGCGCTCGGGGCTCGGGCGGGCGGAAGTGACGGCGGCCGGGCGGAAGTAGCGGCGGCGGGGCAGGGCGGAAGTGCTGGCGGAGCGGCGCGGTGCCGGCGCAGGTGAGCGGCGGGGTCTGCCCGTCCCGCGGGGTCCCCTGGGCCGGGCCGGGCCTCACCTCACTCGGTGCAGCCCGCGGGGCCCCGGCTTTACCCTCATGTAAAGAGGAGCGCGGCTAGAGGAGCCGCGCGGCCCTCGGGACAGCGGCCGTGCCCCCTGTGCAGAGGTGCTGTGGGGCCTCTGCTGGGTCCCCACTCCCTCTTTCCCTCCCTCCTCCCGTCAGAGAGGTCTCGCCAGGCCGAGTCTCCATCTCCATTTAAGGCTTCGATTCAGACTGTTTTGTGGAAGCCCATGAGGGCTGTGAACGCGGTGGGAGCGCCGGGACCGCATCACCTCTTTAGTGTGTTAATAACAGCTGCTTGCTTTTGGGTTTATTTTGTGCTGTGATGGTGCCTGTTTATTGCAGAGGCTCTCGAGGCAGGCTGGGCACAGCGGCGTTTCTGGAGGCAGGGAGCTGAGTGCACGCACACCGTGTGTGCCCGGCAGGTAGAGTCACAGCCACCGAACCTTATGGGGACCAGCCTGAGATGCGGAGCCTCTTTGAGGAGGGTTTGTTGCTGCTGTTGAGTCTTTGGACTGGGGTGTTCCTTCTGGGAGGAGTGCCTTTACAGGTATCTATCTGCCTTCCCCATAGCAGCTAAAACTTGCTGCTTGTGTTGTGAAGTCTGGGTGGTTCACATTGGTGGTCATTACGATATTGTGTGTAGAGAAGGTTTTTGTGACAGAGCAGAGCATGCACATGGTCATTTTGCAAAGGAGCCAGTAATCCTCAGTGAGAGTTTTGTTGACTGCTAATCTAGAGTGGAGAAATTGTATCTTTTCTCTGGCTGCTGAGCTGCCCGGCAGAGACTGAGATGTGACTCTCTGCTTCTCCTTTTACTTCTTGCCTCAATCAACAGGATCTGAAGAAAGAGGTTTTTTGTGAGAGCAGGACCTTGTATTCTTCTTTCAGCCAAATCTGATAACTTTATCAAAAGAGTACAATGTTGTAGACTTGAGGATCGGTAAAAAAATCTTCCTCAGTGGTCAGAAATGACAATATTGGTCAGAGATGATTCTTTGCTTCTCCCTGTACTGGTTGTCTTTCGTCTTTTGACTGTGTTTAGTTCATAGATGCTGTTGTAATGCAAGTGACTCCTTTGGGCTGTCGGGTTCTGCAGCTGCAGAAGAAAAATGCATTGTAAATGCAGACGGGCTAGAAGAAATTAAAAAGCCTAACAACATTGAATTCTAGCAAGAAAGTACTGGATTTTGTAGTCTGGTGGAAACTGTAAAAAGCTTGCACAGGAGTGGATAGGTAGTTTGCTCAAATGCTGAGCCTGAATCTTACATGTTTTCCTAGGACAAAATCCTCGTTGGGTTGCACCTGCTGGCTGGCTGGTGGTCCCTCTTGGCAAACAGATTGTGTATGGTGAGTTTCTAAGTAGTGAGTTGCAAGGTGGGAGGTGAGCAGAGTGCAGGATGCTGGGGTCAGTGCTGATCGTCAGGAGTTTGTTGTTTCTGCTGCCTGTTTCTTGTGAGCTCTGGTGGGCAAGAATTAATCCTTCTGACGGCCAGGGCAGTGTTGCTGATGTGCTTAGGTGGCTTCCAAGGGGCGTGGAAAAAGGTACGATTAGAAGGCAAAGTGTTTTTGCTCCCTTCAGTCAGTCTGCAAGTCCCATGTGTAGCTAAGCCATGACTTTGGGGAAGGGTTTTCTGGAATAACATGCACCCTTGTTAGACACTGGCTGCTTGGTTGGCTCGTTGTGCCTGCCAGTTTCCCAGGGAAAGGAAGGCAGTTCTCAAGGCCTCCTGTATTTTTTTAATTAACTTTTTCTGATAGACAGAGACTGGGAGAAGTTTGTGTAGAGCCCTGTGTGGAGGAGGCTTGGAGCAGAAAGATTAGCAGCACTGTTTGCTTCTAGCTGGGTGGTTTGTGTCTGTTAATCCTGGCATCGTCCTCTTTTGGGCTTTGAAGCCCGGGATGACAGGGCATGGAACACTTGGTGTCGGCTGCGTGTGGTGCTGCTTGTGCATATCAAAGAGGGTCCAAGCAACAGAAGTGTGGGTGTGGGAGCCCTGTTGTGGCAGAAAGCTCCCTAAATAACCAGCAAGTGGGTGTGTGCTTCTGCTCAGAGTACACGCAGCAAAAAGGATCTGTCTGGAGAAGTTGCGGTTTTTGCAGTGCAGCCAGGGAGGTGGGCTGAGAGGGAGTGTTTCTGCATTCTCAGCATCCGTGAGAGCCGCAGTGAGATCCCAGGTGTTGTTGTGTGAAGTCCTTCTGTGACAGCAGCAAGGCAGTGTAGAAGGGTGCTCCCTGCCTTTCCTGCCCTGCAGCAGCTTTTGCATTTTGTTTCATGAATGTCCTTGACCACACTGTTAGAGAAAGTGGGTGTTCTCCCTGCGTTCTGGGGAAGGGTTTTATTGTTGAGAGGGTTCAGGGGAGTTCCCCTTGTTGCTGCTTGTGCCATATGTGGGATTGGTGTCCAGGGAAGCTGTTGTTGTGGGCGTCTTGAGCTGACAGCTTCCATAAATGTCAGTGTTTTGGGATATCTGCAATGGAGCGAGTGACTGGTGACGTTGGCATTGGATGGAGTGGTCTGTTTCCTCAGTCATGAAGTCCTGAAGTGAATGGAGAGTCCTTGGAAGCCTTGCAACCCCTGAAAATCCAGGGATTTTGTTGAATCTGATGTGTTTGGTGATTTTACACTAATGCCTTGACTAAAAGCATTAACCAAATGTCAAACTTCCTGGCTGCCTTTGTTCTCTTAGAACCAGCAGCATGACACCTTACCAGGTGGGGGCTGTGCCTGCCCAATGATTGCACTTTGTTTTGGTCTGAGATTAAGAAAGAGATTCACTTCCAAGCTTTGCACTTTGTCATGCGTGCAGCCTGTCCATATGGCTGAGAAGTGTTCCATTAAAAATCCATATCCACTTTCCTTTCTGTCTTGACAGTAAGTCATCACTGAGTCCTGGTGGGCTTTTGCAGGTGGGAGAGATCAAAT